GGTCAGCATGGAATTTCCATTTATGCGAGCATTTGTTGCTCTTTTGTAAGTGACATCCACGTCAATACTTCTTGGGACCATATTGCCGCCTTAATTCTGCCTCCCATTCATTTCTTGGGTCAGAGAACGAACGGATGCATGTGCTGATGATTTGGCTGGCATATAGTATCTACCGCTACTTTCGTCTGCTGGTAAATTTGGTTTCTTTCTGGACTTTTAAGCCCATTCCTATTCCCGAGAACCCGGAACTCACTGCCCAAGATGTCACGGTGATACTTCCTACGCTGGAAGGGTGCGGCGACGAACTTGTGGAGACGATAAGAACGATCCTCGATAATCATCCGTTTGAACTATTGCTGGTCACTATTGAAGCGAATAGAAAGAAGGCCGAACACATGCTGAGCTTGATGCCTGCTTCGAAGTCCAAGATTCGTCTGTTCACAGTGACGCATCCGAACAAACGCCGCCAGATGACACGAGCAATCCCAGAGGTACGCACGGCAATCACCGTCTTCGCAGATGACGATGTGAGTTGGCCACGCACGGTACTTCCTTGGATTTTGGCGCCTTTCGAAAGGGATGAGCGGTTCGGTGGTGTGGTCACCTGCCAACGGCTGCGACGTGCTATTGCACCCACCATGTCCCAGCGCATCTGGGGATATCTTGGGGCCTTGTATCTCGAACGACGAAACTTTGATTGCGCAGCCACTACCCACATAGATGGAGGGTTGCCCTGCATGTCCGGACGTACAGTCGCGTATAGGACCAAAATCCTCCAAGATGAAGGATTTACTTACGCTTTCACAAACGAGGAATGGTGGTTTGGCAAATATCAATTGAACGCAGACGACGACAACTTCATCACTCGCTGGATGGTCTCTCATGGCTGGGAGACTTACATGCAGTACCACCCTGAGGCCGAGGTCCTGACCACTCTAGAGAATAACCCGAAGTTCCTGAAACAATGTGCACGCTGGTCTCGAAGCAATTGGCGGAGCAACCTTACAAGCATGTTCCATGAAAAACACGTTTGGTAGTAAGTTTACCTTATCATCTTATCTTCGTTCAGACTTTCCCTCGGGGTACCCTTATTGGTCTGCCCTAGACAATCAGTTCTGCGCCTATTTGGAGAGAGTACATCATTGTGTCACGATGCGCAATGAGGCAGAGTGAAACAGAGATGTTGGATAGCGACCTTGGACATATTCTAAGCTCTCATCAAGCTGTTGTTGGTCCTGTTTGTGTTGTGTATGCTAATTCCTTTTGTAGCCGCCAACCCTGGAGTGCTTATGCTGTTCATTTGACGACACTTTCGCCCCCAGCGCTCCTGGGTGACTTGCTTCTCCTCTTGTTGTGCCACAAAGCCACGGTAGATTGGGACATTCATGCTCATACGATGGCTATGCAAATACTTGGAGGTTGGATGCTTATGAGCAAGTTTATCAAGCTTCTGGGGCACTACATTCGGTATCCTGTGGACTTCGTTCTGCTGCCAATTTCAATACTCTTTGGTTATTTCCACGGGGGAATCAAAATCTACGCCGTGCTCACTCTTAATGTGGTAAGTAGCTTTCTCGATTTACAACTGTATCTATTACCCCAGCCCAGGGCATTCATTGGAGACGGAGAGCCACGCTCGGGTTGTCCACAGCCCAGACCCTCTCGGCTTGCATGTCTTTCCTGTTCCCTCGTGCATACTCATGTCTTCGTGTACATCCTGAACGGCCTTCCCCGCCCTGTCTGGGCAATTCCGAGTTTTGTTTGCCGCCCGGCCTATTCTACTCGACCTCCTGGATCTTCGAGGCGATCTCCTTTCCAACCACCGTTCCATCCGCATTCGCCTCTCTCTTTCATTTTACCTGTTTATCGTCACCTGTACTCAACCCTTCAAGTGCCGTTCAGTACTATAGACCCCTCACCTTGCTTTCCATTCATGCACAAACTCTCCCTTCGTCTGTTCATTCGCTTTCCAGAGTCTTGTTAAGTCTATGTCGCGCGTGGGGGTTTCGGGAGCCTACCTATCCTTCCATTCTCGAATTTATCAGCTGACTTGAATTCCTCCTGCAGACTGCATGGGGTAGCAGAGATGGCGCCGACGACTACGACGCCGAACGTATGAAGAAGCGAACAGATATAGATCGCATGAAACGGCCATATTACCCAAAATTCATCACGCAATAGTGCCAGCTGCTGCATACACCAAAAGCGATAGACGTTCCAATCCCCATGCTACCATCGCCCGTGTTTGTGAGACAAAGGCTGAACCGGTCTGATCACTGAAACACTATGTCCATATTTCGCTAGTCTGGTTGAGAGGACAGCAACGTCTTTGAAACCATCCTATACCCACGGGATGCTATGACTCGTGCTAATGATGAGACGCCTTTATGACACCAATTTTGAGAAATTTTCTTCTAGACCAGGCCCATCAAGTTTTCAGCCGCGGGGCTACTTACCCAGCCTCTGTATCCTATTCCGCGATAGTGTCCTTTCAAACTTCCCCGTTCTTCTTTTCTTGACCCTGCCCGACACTCTCATCGAACCCATCTGAATCCACTACTGTTAGTGGATCCGAATTGGGGCTTTGGGGCTTCGGAAATTCCAGAATAATACTGAACTGCGATCAGATCTAGCCAAGTTATTTCCATCATTTCCAAAGAGTCCTGATCAAAAGGCAATCCTCCTCATGTAAAGTACAAAGGTGCGGGTCTGGATATTGTGCTTTGTGCCGCTGTTTTTCTCTTCTGCTTTCCTTTCCTTCTCGATGTCCTGACTCGCTCTTGTCTTTGTCATAGCTCGCCAGCAAACTGTCCAACACCAGACACCGAGCCAGGACATCATTCGTTCTCAGATTGTTGTGCACTATTGTCTCACGCGTAATGTACATCATTGAATACCGTTAACATTAATAGCTAATGAGATGTCTGTTTCTTGTTGGAGGCAAACATGTTGCGATTTTGCGCAGCGGATCACCTAGTATTCAGACCTTGACCTCGACCATAATTCATAATAAATGGGTAAGGCTTAAGGAACGCCTACCTCCGACATTCGCTTGGTGTCGAGACTGAATGGCAAGGTGGCATAGTGAGAGAAGGGAGGAGTCTTTGGCTATCTGACGTACACAATCTCTTTCAAGGTATGCAGTGTGCGGGATTTGATATTGACGGGAGGGACGAAGTGACAAAATTGCGAACGAGTACAGAAGAACTTTTCTACTGATGATAGTATATGATCAAACCCATACAGTATTCAGAGGTAAAGCCACAAGCTTTTTCCTGTCATGCAGTAAGATGATCGAGTAGCACTGTGCAAACCTGGCGATTTCTAAGGCTGCGGAGGCCGCATTCCATAGCTGCGGCGCCGGTGGCGTTCCGACCCGACTTCACCTCCGCTCTGTGCCCAGTGAGTGGGAAACCTGATCCGACACAGTCTTGGAAGCAATTCATGCTCCCTCGCTTCTATTCTCACTTGTCTCTCCACTGTATCAAAACCTTTCCTGCAGATTGTGCTTAATTGAATATGCCGCGGTTTTCTCATGTTTACGCAGCTCTGTCGCGACAGGCAGTTTCGACCCTGGCTGCTCGACATAATGCCGCTATTGCGCGTTCCCTTAAAACCTCCTCCATGACAGCCGCTGTTGCCCACCCTATTACTACCCATGGGCCTCCCCCTAACGCCCCATCACCTGCACCTTTCTTCGATGCATGCTCTGAACTGCGATCGGAAAGTTCACTCGAAAAGGAGGCAAATGCGCGTCCAAAAAAGCCCTCTTCAGGACTCAAGAAGCGCTTCTGGAAGGATGTTAGTGTTCGGAAAAAGTCAGGTAAATCTCGAACAGCTACGTGGCGGATATACGTTTGAAGCTTGGATTGACTCGATTGCCAACGTGCTCCGGATTCTAATAATAATAGAAGGCAATTACGAAGTCTTGCTGGACACCCGCCCCATAAGAACGCCGTCCAAAGATGCCTTGTCCATACCGTCGACGAAACCTTACCTAGCGCATGCGATTGCTTTGGAGTGGGATGTGATGACTACCGCCCAGCAAGCTCTGAAAAATCATCTTATCCCGCTGACATCTCTTACGGCGCGTGCGGCGGATATCGCCCGAGAGGATGAGGAAGGCATATCGTTCGCAAGGGATCAGATTGTGAAGACCGCGATGCGTTATCTGGACACCGACACACTTCTATGCTGGGTGCCCGAGCCTGCTGACTCCCTTGGAGAAACCAATGAAAATGGTGAGAAACTCGAAAGTCTTCGAGAGGCGCAGATAAGGGTCGCCAATGATACAATTGCCTTCCTGGGTACCAAGGTCTGGCCCGGAGTTGATATTCGACCAATTCTAGATGCCGACAGCATCCTGCCCGTATCCCAGCCGCAAGTCACCAAGGATATCATTCGACAGTGGGTCATGAATCTGCATGCTTTTGATCTGGCTGCGCTTGAGAGAGGTATACTCGCAGCGAAGAGTCTTCTGATCGCTGTTCGACTGGTCGCCGAGTGGAGCGAGAACTTCCGTGGCTTACAACGACCTGGAAAGAAAAGATTTGGGATTGAAGATGCAGCAGAAGCGTCCAGTATGGAAGTCAAGTGGCAGACGGATATGTGGGGCGAGGTGGAAGATACACATGATGTCGACAAGGAAGACCTTCGTCGACAGCTAGGTAGTGTTATCGTTGTAGTGAGTGGAGAGACTAGGTGAAGCTCGGGCTATACAGCCATCATTTGAGACTGTTGGGTTATGTATGTATTTTACTCCATATATAATAGATTTTACCTTTTCCTTCAACCGTGCGCCCGTTTGCCGAAGCGCGCGAAGCGATGAGCAGTTATACTCACTTGTCGGGAGATTCTCCAACACTCCAACAAGTGACGTGACGCGCGCCGCCTCCCCAGATCCGACCCCTCCATCCCTCTTTTGCCGACCCCAAACCAACCTCCTTTTCCTTCCTTACCTCGGCTCCTTTTCCTTTCCTCATCCCACCTCGCAGCTGAGGGTTCCCAGCAATTCCCGCTGCATTCGGCGCTGTACTTGACACCGTACTTGACATCCTGTGTCCAAAGGGTCCGGCTTTGGAACTGATTGTGGTTGCGGCGAGCAGAAGAGAGAGATGACGGATAAGGGTGAAGGGTGAGTGCATCTTGAGATTGATTCTGAATCATTCGCGGCCAAACCTCATTCCCCCAACACTTGTTGGCCGGCTTACTTGCCTATGTGGCCAGAGGCCCGCGATCCCCATCAGAAAGACCGCCGTAATCTGGGCGTGCTGACACTGGATGTCCTTTGCGACCTTTAGACATAAACGTTCCCGCAGTTCTTTGGCGCTGGCAATCTTGCACCGAGACAAGTCGCGCGAGGGTCGTGAGGGCAGTGTCAGTCGCGATCGCGCCCAGTCACCTCCTTCCACATCCTCTCCGGTCGGCAGCACCACGTCCTCCTTCCCTGGTATACCAGCCGCGCGAAGCTCCAGCCGCCGTAAAACACATCAAGAGACGAACTTGTTGCCTTCGATGGCTGGCGAACCTCCACGAGAATCGATGAGCTCCCTCCGAGACGACGACAATATCGAGAAGCTTCCCTCTTTGTCCCATGCCGAAGGCAGTAGCATGTCTCTGGATCAGTCGGTGAGAACTTTCCGCCTTTTCGAGATCCTTCGGAGCGGCGACACCATTGCTATCTCTAAAGCCATAAAAGAGACGAAGGAGCCTCAAGGGGCGACCAATCTGTCAGGTACGACGGTTCTCCACTTGGCTATTCAGTGCGCGGAGCCGCAAGTCGTGGAGTATGTACTCTCGACGGGCGAAGAGTTGGATGTGAATGCTCAGGACCGAGATGGCAATACTCCCCTTCATCTGGCCGCTCAATTAGGACGTGGTCCTGTAGTTCGTGAGCTGCTGAGTCGGCCTTCGCTGAATGACTCAATTGTCAACTACGGTGGTCAAACAGCTCTTGACGTTGCCAGGACTCCCGAGATATTCCAGCAACTTCAGCTAGCGCGGTCACTCTTCATTGACCATAAAACCCAGGAGATTCAATCATTAGTCTCCCAAGGTGAATATGCGAAACTTGAGAAGGTTTTGGAAGAGCCTCGGGTAGAGGGTGTGATGGATGTCGATAGCCTGGATCTAGTCACTGATCCTGCTACTATTCACTCTGGGGGAACTTTGCTACACGAAGGAGCAAGGAGGAGAGATACGAAGCTGATACAGATTCTTTTGATGCATGGTGCCGACCCATTCCGCCGCGACAAAAAGGGAAAGCTCCCACAAGACGTCACCAAAGATGAAAAGACTCGTGCAATCGTCAAAAAGTCCCCGGCTGCTGTCATGGCTCAACGGGGTATACAGGAGAAAGCCATTTTAGGAACTAGCGCAACGGCCCCGAGCGTCTCTGGCCGGGTGGGCGTAGCCGAAGCTCCCTTCGCTGGCAAAGAAGCTCGTGAGATGAGAGGATATCTGAAGAAATGGACAAATTACACCAGTGGTTATAAGCTACGGTGGTTTGTATTGGAGGATGGGGTCTTGAGCTACTATAAACATCAAGGTAAATTTAGCCAAACAAGCCCGTTTCCAATCATGTGAAATCGGCTAACCTGATGTCTACTCCTTGGCGTTGGCAGATGATGCGGGCTCAGCTTGCCGGGGTGCTATCAATATGAAAATCGCCAGGCTTAACATGGATTCGCAGGACAAGACTCGTTTTGAAATTTACGGCAAGTCATCGGTCAAGTACCATCTCAAGGCGAATCATGTCGTCGAGGCTAAGCGCTGGTTCTGGACGCTCAACAATGCCATACAATGGGCAAAGGACGAAGCAAAAGAAGAAGAGAAGCGCCAGACAAGACATGCCGAAGTGCTACGCCAAGCGAAGATCGAAAAGACTGAGGGTCGGTCGCCTGAGAGCATGTCAGACTCGCCGGGCTTCAATACATCTAATAAATTGAGTGGGAAAACCCTGGCTCCATCATCCATTGCCGTACCTAGCAGTAGTGGCACACGGCTTAGCACGTATGCATCGCGTACAACGCTAGAAAGTGCTCCTGAAGACGATGAAGGCTCATTGTACGGCTCGTTGGATCATGCTGCAACATCAAACGCTGTGCGCCGTCTCACTAGTCATGCAACTACTGCGCCCGACATTGACGGAGATGATGATATTGATGACGATGATGGGGACTATGCATCCAGCCACGATATACCACCAACTGATAAAGATGCTCTGAATATCACCGCACAGTCGACCAAACTCCAGCTTGATATCCTTGCCCACATTGCGGCTTCAATGCAGGTGGAACAATCGAGAAGCCCGAGTACAACCCTGTCAGATCCGGCCGTCGAGCAAGCTCTGGTAGCTTACGGAGCAGCCGTGAGTAGCTTACAAGGCTTAGTGCAAAATCTCTTGAGAATTTCCAGGGACCGCGATGCTTATTGGCAATATAGGCTCAACCGTGAGGCCTATCTACGTAAGATGTGGGAAGAAAGTATGGCTAAGATAGCGCATGAACATGAAGAACTGCAGTCGCGAATGGGTGAGTCGGAGGAGAAACGACGGCGCACCAAACGGGCGCTCAGGGAAGCATTAGAGTCAGCTACTACTGGCCATGTTGATGGCCGGGCTCCTTCTCATGCACAAACCATCAAAGATGACTCCGATGTTGCAAAAGTCGAGGCTCATACATCCGATGTGGTTGACAAGTGCTCACGGCTAACGGAGAAAGAGCCAGGGCAGTCGCTCAATCACAAACAGTCAACTCTCTTGCAGATCAACAACCTTTGTGACTCAGGGTCTGAAGATGACGACGACGACGAGTTCTTTGATGCAATTGATTCAGGGGAGATTGAGGTGGAGAAGTTGTCATTTGTACCTTCAGATGATGACGGGAGGGAGTTTCCAGATGAAGGTAGCGAGCTTCGAGCCACCAAGCGGAAGGAAATCATCCCCTCATTCACAGGGTACGATGAGTCTGTCAGGGAACGGCTGAAAATGGACTATGACAACAGGCCGAAAATCTCGCTCTGGGTAAGTAACTGCTCAACAACCCACAGCATAAGAAACCTGACATTTGTGAACGCTCACGATGATTACAGGGTATTCTAAAGTCTATGATTGGTAAGGACATGACGAAGATGACCCTTCCAGTCTCTTTCAACGAGCCAACGTCGTTGCTTCAGCGAGTGGCTGAAGACCTGGAATATGCGGACCTCCTGGACGTTGCCGCTGATAGACCCGACTCCATGGAGCGGTTGTTATACGTCGCTGCGTATGCTGCAAGCGAATATGCATCGACCATTGGCCGTGTGGCAAAGCCTTTCAACCCCCTCCTTGGTGAAACATTCGAATATGTCCGGCCTGACAAAGGTTACCGGTTCTTTATTGAGCAGGTCAGCCACCACCCACCGATAGGCGCTGCCTGGGCTGAGTCAACCAAATGGGATTACTATGTGAGTACTTATTCTTAGAATATTTTAATGTAGTGACTGCCGTCGATTTGCTGACTGGTCCATAAAAAACAGGGCGAGTCTGCTCTCAAATCGAAGTTCTACGGGAAATCTTTCGACATCAATCTCTTAGGGACATGGTTCCTTCGATTGCGCCCGGCATGCGGAGGAGAGGAACTATACACTTGGAAGAAAGTCACCTCATCTGTTATTGGCATCATTACTGGTAACCCAACGGTCGACAACTACGGGTTAATGGAGATCAAAAATTGGACAACCGGCGAGATCTGCTACCTGGATTTTAAACCCAGGGGATGGAAGGCATCCTCTGCCTATCAGGTGTCCGGGAAAGTAGTAGATCGAGATGGAACCCCAAAATGGAGTATTGGCGGTCGGTGGAATGACAAAATATATGCGCGTCATACTCCCGGGTTTGAGGCGCCGGTGTCTGGCCAGGATCCCGAATCAAACAAGACGCTTTTGGTCTGGCAATGTCATGCGCGCCCAAGCGGAATTCCGTTCAATTTGACTCCGTTCGTCATCACCCTTAACGCTCTGCCGAATGGTCTCAAGGAGCACCTTCCTCCTACGGACACACGGCTTCGACCTGACCAGCGTGCGATGGAAGAAGGTGAATATGATTTGGCGGCCAGTGAGAAGCACCGGGTGGAAGAAAAGCAACGAGCCAAGCGCAGAGAGCGCGCGACCAACGGGGAAGAGTACCAGCCCAAGTGGTTCACGCGAGCCCAGTGCCCGATCACCGGAGAGGAGTACTGGGCACACAACGGTAATTATTGGAAGTGCCGAGAATCCCACGATTGGAGTGTCTGTGAGGATATTTTCTGAGGGGAAGTAATGTGTATGTTTGATGCGTGGTTACTCCCACTGTAACTATGATTTCACACTGGACGGACACATGCCTGCATGGCTGAATGATTGAAGATGCTATGCATCTTGACTGTAGCATAAAACTTATTCAACACCACTTTGCTAGGCCGTGGATGTCACGTGGGAATGCTTGGCAACCGTCCACTAAGCTCCGTCCTGCAACTGCTTCTCGCGTCACTGCCGGAGAGAGTCGACACTCAATCACTTCTTATATTCATTCTTCATTTGGTTTTTTTTTCCTTCTTCCCTTCTCTCCCTGGTTCATGTTAGCTCTGTACCAACCAGCAATGACTGGTGAGTACACCTGTGGTCGCTGCCTACACGCACTCCGCCAACGGGCTGTGGTACGCCTGCCACACTATGCACTGCCTAGTAGAGGAGGATATGGGCTGTTCAAACCTGCCTTGGTGCGGAGTTTAAGTAGCTCCAGCAAAGGCCTCCTTTTCCCGAATAGCACGCCTCAAACGGCCTCGAAGCAAACAGCCTTCACTCCCCCGACTGCGTCCCGAAGTCTCGGATCGGTCGTGCAGAAGGCTTCGTCTTCCACCTCAAACACTTTTCCAGATTCGCGCGTTTTGTTGAAACCGAACAACCTCTTCCATTCGTTCTCTCAGTCACCAGCAGCGGCCATTCGACAGCGTGCGGCTTTTATCAAACAAAACGCCTTCTGCCCACATCCAAGCCACCAGCAGACCCGACTGCCTGTCTCTCCTCACGACCCAGAGACGCGCAAGAGCCCACAGAGCTCGAATCTGCCGCCGGCGCACTCTCACTTTGAATGTCCCGACTGCGGCGTGCCGATCTATTGCTCGGAGGGACATTGGATGGATGACTTTGAAGCACACTTGGAGGTCTGCGAGACCATCCGACAGATCAATGAGGACGATCATGACCTGCATTCTGGGCGGGTTTTCCCGGAGTTCACCTACCCAGGCCTTCAAGATGATAATTTCGTTATTAACATGACGAACTGGGACACTTTTTTCTATACACGAGAGTTTGAGGCAATCAACGATGACCGGAGCATGCGGCAAGTGACCCGGATGCTAACCTATCCGCTTACACTTGCGAGTGTTTTGCATGAACTGAGTCCCTATAATGTCCGGAAGGGGGGGAGGCTTACGGTGGAGGGGCTTAAAAGTGTTAGTGGTAAGTCATCACGGCGATTTCTTCATCTCGTCTCTTATCCTCACATGGTCTATGAAATGTTTGCCTAACTGGGAGTCGCAGCGTTGCGATACACTTTACACCCTCCCAAGACAGGAGAGGGTGTCGATATTCGAGGATTACGCCTGAAGGCACCTCCGGTCCGCATTTTCATCCTAGGGGCCCGGGCTGAGTCTTCCTTGCCGCGAGAGGTTTGGTTGCAGCTCAGCTACATCTTCCCACGCTCTCTCATTCATCTCATTTTCATCGGACCGGAGAGTATGACGAACCGCGACGCCGAGTTCCCGCTGCCAGAGCGGACACCTGGCAACCCATTCGGGGGTGTTGTCGAAGACCGACTTGGAGGTCAATTCAAAATCACGACCTACGTTGACTACTTCCACACAATGTACAAAGCCAACTACTTCCAACCTTTCGATCCATACTTAGACTGCATCATGCTGTTTCATCCCGGACTCGGACACCCGGCAAGCTCTCACGAGTGGGAAGAAACCCTCCCGCAACTACTGGAGACTAAGGTGCCGATCATCAGCACAGGCTACACGCAGTGGGATATGGAACGGGATATCAAGTGGGTGCACGAGAAATGCGCTGGCGAATTCGATATTCTGCTTGAGCCGGGTGAGAATATATTCCGCAGCTTACGCTGGGATCTCAATGACCTGGACCCTCATGATGTTTCGTGTGGCAACTGGGGTGTCTGGGCTTTCAGAGGAAAGAGGTACGCAGTGCATTCACTTCCCTTCTGTCTTTCTGTGCTAACTAAACCTTAAAGATACGAGGCAACATTCCGCAACTAGAAGCTGTTCTCTCCGTGCCTGATGCACTTGTTCGCAACAACATTACTGCAACTGTACACAATGTTAATGTCGTGGATGCCTTCGTGCATATTTCCATGAAAGCTCGACGAGCCTAATCTTAGCTTTCATTATATCTGTATTGTCAACAGTACATATTTTCTTTCCCGTCGTGGCAACCTACTTGATGCAACCTGGACCGCATCAATGAAACCGCAAGAAAAAGTGAAAAGCTAGGCAAAAAGATGGTCATGGCTAAGCTCCCGCTCGGGAATATTACAGTAAATTTTCTGCCAACACTGGGTTGATACATCAAACCTCGAATATTGAATTGCTTGTTGCTTTCCATCACAAGTATGAGCTCTACAATAGCGCGGTGGAAATCTGAATTGGTAGACAGAACAGCCGCACGGCCTCCTGTCATCGCCACCGTAGCTAGTACACCCTGTCAGAGGGAATGAGAGGCCATTTATGTTCAAGCAGAGGACGAGACACTGAGCTCGATCATCCAAGGAATGCAGTTGCGCCAAACGAGCTCAAAGCATGATCAGACCAACGGCAGCCAAGACACCAGCGGCAAGGCCGCTCGGTAATTTGGTGGATGGGACCGCAGCACTGGTCTCAGTCGCCTCGGCTGCGTCGGCGGAAGTAGAGGATCCGGATTCAGATTTGGTGTCGGCGGAAGCACCTTGAGTGGGAAGGTTGGTGGTCTTGGTGATATAGGACCTAGTGAAGGAAGGGCTGGCGGCCACAGAAGAGCTAGCACGCACGGAGCTGGCGATAGCAGTACTGGCGATAGCAGAGCTGGCGAGGTGACGGCTAAAAGTTGGCGTGTGGCTGGAGAGATTCGACGAACTTGCGGAGTGAACCTCCGAGCTGGCGGTAGTGGCAGTCGCGTCGATGTTGCTGCTGCTTAAAATAAGTGGGGACGAAGTAGTCGAGGTGGAAGCCAGTGTGGGCGTCGTAGAGGAACTTCCGGGATAGGCAGCGCTCGTTGTGATGGCAAAGGCGGCAGGTATGGCCTGCACCGCTGCGGTAGCAAATGGTGCGTAGGCCGCGCAGGCAATCAGCAGAGCGTTCGAGATATACATGTTCGCTCAAGGTGTGTTTCTCTTTTGCGCTCAATTTATCCTGAGGGACTGGAAGTGACCGGGGAATGAGACCAGCTGATTCGAGCCAACAGTATTCCAATGGCGTGAAGTCTGGAAAGGTAGAATATCTTGACGAGCCAAGGCAGTGTGCTTTGAAGGTACTCTGGAATGTATATCCGTATAGTTGGTGCAATAGTATCACAATTCAAGCGGACCAAATAGAGACACAGGGCGAAAAGAATGGATGGAGCTGCAAACGAGGGACTGCTCTTGTGCACGGAGAAAAAATGAAGGAATTCTAAAATCAATCAACGCAGGGAAGGAATGACAGCACTGCTGTAACTATCGCGGTTCATAAAAGCTGCAGAAGAAAACAAATAAGAAAGAAGAAATAGGGCAGAAGTGTCAGAATAAGAGGGAAAGGAGGGGGGGGAGGGAAGAGGGGATGGCTGACGTGCCACTCACTGCTTGGCTTTCTTTCATCAAATGCCATCTGGGTCCGAATTTGTTCAGTCATACTGTAAGAGTCCACGCAATAGTATGTATGCATATTTCTAGGGCTGGAGGCTGACAGGAAGGATCCTAGAGGACTGACTAGGCCCCAGCATCGGTCAATTCAGGATTTCGACCCCAAGTTGTATCCACATTACAGTAACTGCCATCTACGATGCCGTCCACGCGACCGTAAGCATAAAGTAGAGGTTCCAAAGCCCGGCATTATCAGATGGGGGATGGGGATACCAGCGAGCAGTGGTCGACTAGCAAGAAACATGTAGGTCTGGGAAGGCTGAAGGGCTTTTCCTGTGCTGAGAAGATTGGTGTCTGTAAACCCTCAACCTGAGACAATGACGGCCGAGAGTGATGAAACATTGGTTGGAGAATAGCGAATGAGATTGATCAAGTGAAGTTTGCCATGGGCCTTAATTTAGTCTGGCCGCAGTGGAGTCGGTCAAGCCCTGCAGCAAGCACTACAGCGGTGAAGTCTAGGCTCGAAGACTGGATCAAGTGACCAAAAAAGAAAAGAGGAAAAAAATGATGAGAAAAAGACTGTACGTACCCAGAAAAGTACTTAGTAGTGGCAAACAAGAAAAGGGGTATTCAACGGAGTAATTCTATAACAAGAAACTGGATAAACAGAAGCAAACCCCCTCATCACAAAGCCCACACCTGGCCCACCACCAACGCAATGATGGTCCAGTACCCGATGGCAAGGCTCACTTGGCTTGTTGGTCCAGCTGCGGCGGCGGATGAGGCAGAGGAATCGGCGACGGTGGTCCCATTGGGTAAGGTACCATTGATATAGATCGAGTCGGTGCCATTCACATTGGCAACCCGCGTGATGCTTGAGTTCGTTGGTTGGCTACCGTTAAACAGCGACTCATAGTAGGTGGAATTAGAGTTGTCATCACAGCCACATTCCAGGTACTGTTGGCATAGACAGACAACGGGCATGGACTCATTGCGGTGCGAGGACTGATTCACATAATTGTAATGATGGGGGTAGGGATAGGCGTAGACGTTGTATGCCCAGAAACCGAAGAACGCCAGACCAGTCGCAGGTAACAGATAGGGCGTTATGCCCGTTCGCGATCGAGAACCCGAAGTATAGGGAGCGGTCGCGCCGCCAGCATAATATTTGCCGCCACCGTAGGCTGGTTGTCTCCCTGAACCGCTGCGAGTTGATCCTCCAACGTTGGTCGAGGAACTGACAGAACAGAAAACAGAGTCAGTCAACTTTGTCTGCGCACGGAAAGGGTCTTCACACTATTGAACACTCACCCAGTCCTCGAACCACTTCCACTACCTCCACTGCTTCCACTGCTGCTCCCTCCGCTACTACCGGTGCGGCCACCACTGCCTCCCCCACTACTGCTGCCCCCTGCACGACCTCCCCCTCCTCCCCCACCGCGACGCTTTGCAAGTTCTGAGGTATAGCCAGGCTGATCTCTTGACCCAGGAGCCAGTGATATGGTGGCTGAGGCCTGCAGAAGAATCACCAGGGTAGTCAACCAGATAAAGTTCATGATGGTGAAAATGCGATACCAAGTTCCGTGTTCTGCAAGGTGATCAAGATGTTGTTCAGGGTGAATTTAATGAGGAACCTGAAAAGAGAATGCTGTAGATAGTAAGATCCCCGATGACGGAGAGATTACAGATGTTGAATGTCTCACTTGGCATTTTCGGCACAGGAAAGTCTAATGGAAGGAAGGGAGTTTAGCCTGACTTCCCTTGTCTCCAATCCAAAGAGCTTTGTTCTCTCTATGTTGATGACCTCGAAGAATTCTTTGTCATATTTGAGGGTTGCTGTTCCTTATTCTACTATACTGAGCAGGATTGAGAAAAAGGAAGAGCGAGAAACACACGCACACACACACACACACAAAAAGGTATAGACAAAGAAATTGAGGTGCCAATGTGCAAATGAGGTCATCCACAATGATGGCGGACTTGTGTTCCGCAACTTTTAAATCCAATAAGGATGGATGGGATGGTCTATGTCTATGCCGTGGCATCCGATCCGAATGAATAATTATACCTACCTACGCATAAGGTAGTGTCACATAGATAGTGGTTTGAAAGTCATCATTTAGTACTACTATGCACCACAAGTAGTGTATACGTATTAAGAAAATTTCAACTTCCTCTCTTCCCCAAACCCCAGAGCCCCCATTCAGACCCATCTATTCACTTTTGTTGATGCGGTCGCACCAGCGGTCTGTACTTCGGCTCCCACATTTGAATCCGAACCCATTCATCCAATTCCTGATCGTCCGCAGGAATTCCCGTCTCCTCAGCGTGCCCTTCCTCCACTGCGGTCTTGATTATCGCCTTGGCAATATCGATGCTAATCTCTCGCACATCCTGAACGTCGGGGAGAAGTGGTTCCTTGGGATCTTGCAGCGCCGGCGACCGCATAGCTAAGGCTTTGACTGCTGCCACAAGCATCTTGTCTGACAAAACGCGGGTTCGCGAGAGAACCGCTCCTAGTCCAATGCCAGGGAAGCAAGTAGAATTGTTGCATTCGGCTGCATCGCGTCAATAGTCAAACTCATTAGCTTGGGATATTGTATCCATCAATACTGGGCTGTCCCCTTACCGATCTCGTACTTCCCTCCGTCCCGTGCAACAGGTGGGAATGGACTGCCGGTAGCCATCAAGGCCTTGCCATCTGTCCAATGATTGATGTCCTCGGGACACGCTTCGTGCAGGCGTGTGGGGTTGCTGAGAGGGAACACGATCGGAGTCTCGACGTGCTTGGCCATCTCGCGAATTATCTCCTCCGTGAAAGCTTTAGGCTGGGTAGAAGTCCCAATCAAAACGTGCGGTCGCACCTTTTTCACCACGGCCAGCAAGTCTCGGGACTTTTCTCCAGACCATTCGTCGTCGTCCCGTGCAAATGGCACTTGGGCTGGTGTCAGTTGATCGCCCAAGGACTTGAGAAGAAGCCCGGGCTTATCAAGGCACCTGTATATGGCTCATGATTCAGTACACCGCGATAATAACACAAGACAGCGTGGTCGGCCGGACAGTGCTTACCATATCTGCTTCCTAGCTTCTTCCTTTGGCTTGCCCACCTCATTTTCGATCGTGTCAGCGATTTGCGCGGCAATGCCTGTGCCAGCAGACCCGGACCCATAAACCACGATCCGCACATCCTCCATCTTGACCTTGCTGACATGCAACGCAGCCATTAAGGCAGCCAAGGTCACACACCCCGTCCCTTGAATATCATCGTTGAAGCATGGGATCTCTGAGCGGAACTTGTCAAGGATGCGCTTGGCGTTATGGAGGCCGAAGTCCTCACTGAAGAGACGGTCAGCCTAGCCCAAGTCCTGCAGACGATGGCGACCTACAAATGAATATATGCCTTTGGAAACTTCTTCTTTGCAACTGTCACGAAGTTTTCCACAAACCGGTCATACTCTTCTCCCCTGACGCGCGGCTGTCGAAGTCCGAGGTATAGATCGTCCTTGAGCAAGGATTCATTCTGGCGTCGACATAAGTATATTATTGGGCAATGCCTGGAATCAACTTACATCGGTCCCGCAGTCTAAAACGACTGGAAGCTGCCGCGAAGGGTGGATTCCCGCACATATGGTTGTCAATGCCAACTTGGCGACTGAGATCAAAATGGCACCTACACCTTGGTCTCCAATGCCCAGAATCTGAGATAGATGTCAGTCGCGTGTTCTGGCCACTTTAGCAGTTGCCTTTCTGCTTACCTCCTCCCCGTCACTGACGACGATATAGTCAATCTCCTCGCTGCCTTCAAAATTGGAAAGACACTCCTCGATCTTCTCCTGCTCCTTGATATTCAGGAAGCATCCTTCGGGCTTCCTGAACAGACGCGAGTAGTTCTGTATCGCGTCGCCTTCTGTTGGCGTGTATATGATACTGAGCATTTCCTTGAGATGAGTCTCCAATAACTTTTTGAGCATTAGCCAATGATGTTGCTCACGCGGATTGATATATATCGAGATACGATAATGGGATTGAATTTTTGGGGCCTTACCTTGTAGTACAGAACTTCATTCTGCTGCTTCATACTAGCCATGAAGGTGTTCTTCGCGATATCACTTTCCCGGCTGCTGTATTGCTCATAGGCTCGCTGGACCTGCTCCTCCAACGTCTGAACGTTGGGAGGGAGCAGGCCTAGTAGTCTGAATGCCCGACGTTCGTCCTCCGGGAAGGAAGATCCTTTGTTGAACTGACAAGACTCTAGGAGGTCTCTACCCTACCCAGCAGAGTCAGCATTTTCAACCTGCTATATGCGTAGTGCGCGATGTTATTATAAGCCAAGAGCTTGCAATACCTCATGAGGACACACCAAGGGGCCCTCGGCAGCGCGGGGCAGATGGCTGAACTTGGAATGCTTGTTTGATGCAGACATCTTAGGTGTATGCTGGGAGAATAGACGGCGACACTGTAATGACAGGGGAAATGACAGTCGTGAGGTTTTCAGCATCGAAGGTCCCCTAGCCATTGAGGGGTACTCAAGAGTTGGAGATCAGCTTAGGGGTAATTATGATTGTGATTGACCCTGGGTGATAAGGGAAGCTTAATATAGCTGGGCATATGATGCAAGATGCCGAGCCTGACCGTTAGAAACCGGCTAGCCGAGCGCTAATAATACTCAAGCTTGTATGTATGTACGCCTTTACAGAACAGGCCGACATGGCTACATTTGATTTGCACACCGGGGTAATTTTTTTTTGGTGAGGAGTGGGGGGTGCGAAACATTCGCTATCACCATGATGGTGATAATGACGTAGTTTAATGTCTCTCGGGCCAGGATTGATTCACAGTAAAGTCAATGTGACTACAGCCCTATTCCACATCTATTAGTGGATGTTCGCCTGTACCAAAAAATGCTTGTCGAGAATCATGGAAGGGATCATCCATGTATGAACTACATTAGGAAGACCCTGCAAGTGTGTAGAATTAAGCATTTGGACAGGTGCATCGGAAATTACAGTAAGTACTGACTACCTTGGTTTAACTAAACCCAAGGTTGATCTTTGAGCCTAATAACAATCAGGTATCACCCTGCCTCCAAGGGTGTTTACTTGGTACATAGTACGAGTACGAAGGTGGTTAACCCCTTCAATTGCCTATTTATTTCCCGTGCGTTCCATATCGGTGGAACCGGGACTGTGATCAAATCTTGGTTCAGAGGAAATGATGATTGCTGATGTCAGGATGTTTTCCATAGTTAACTACCTTATCTCTTATCGGATAACTAGACGGCCTGGTCGCTTGCTGACTCATCTTTTTAAGCGAGCCTTTTCCCCTCTTCCGTCTCCTCCCTCCCTTCAAACCAACCAACAACAAAAATAAAGACCCAATCACTCGCGAGAGCATCGCGTCTTCTCGCCTCCATACCCTTTCCGACATTCCACCATTCGACCATTGGTGGTGCTATGCGACATGCCATATGTCTATACTACATCAATCTATAATATCTGCCAAATGATCATCTCAAAAAGACTGTTAATGTGCACTTTTAAGACAAGTTCGGCTCATCGTTGTCGCAACGTGCGGCGTCACAAACCCCAGCTTCGAAACTGAACGCCTGATGGCGTTTGGTTGCTGATTGAGTAAGGGGAATTCTAACTGATGATATATCTGCAACTTTGCAATCCAGCTGTCTCGCATTGATCGTTGAATTTCACGCCTCCGGGCTGAAACAGCGTTTGAGCATCTCCTACGGACTCTCTTGAAGAACAGTCATCGCATGTCACGTCCTGTGGCTGTGGCCGACTGGAGCTGGATTGTTGGGGCTCTTGCTCCTCCATCTGAAATATCAGATGAACAGTTGCTAGAGAAAGTTCCTAGGGCCTTCATAGTTCATGTTGCTCGCGTGTTACACTTCCTACGAGAGCATGACTCCTTGCGCACCTACATTACCACACAGTCGTCTTCAGATGGTTATTATCAAGAATTTACATAGTCTTTCTCATATTGCTCCCAAGATATACCTCCTCACCTCTGGTTAAGTTGTAATGTAAGGTAGAGACGACTGGACTTCGGCTGGTAGTTCTGCACTCAGAGTTTACTCTTGCCCGCTTCGGCCTCATCATCAATGACCTTCACCACCACCTTTCCCCAGGTTTCTCTTCCACCCAGCCCCTGCAATGCACGGGGAACACTCTCTAGGCCCACGAAGGTCTCGTCCTTGAAGGCAGTGCCCCTGAACTTCCTTTGCGCGACGAGGTCGAAGATGCCGGCCCAAACAGACTGGACCGTCTCCTTCTCGAACTGGGCGTACTGGCCCCAGTGCAATCCGACCAGACTAACATTCTTGAGCAGCACCCGGTTCAACGCGACCTTCTCGATCTTGCCCGCCGCGAATCCGATCACCAGCAAACGCGCGTTCCAAGCGACACACTTGAGGCTGGCCTCAATCAGTCCTACAGGGTCATAGACAATGTCGACGCCCACCTTGCCGTTTCCCGTACGGTGTTGCGCGCACAGTTTTTTGACCTGGTCCGGCCAGCTCTTGTCGCGGTAATCAACGACGTGGTCCGCGCCGAACTGTCGCGCGATCTGCCGCTTTCGCTCGGTGCTGGCCGTCGCGACCACCGTCGCCCCCTTGGCTTTGGCGATCTGCACGGCGGCTAGGCCAACGCCGCCGGCGGCCGCGTGCACCAGCACCCACTCACCAGCCTGGACGTTTGCCCGGTGAACGAGGGCCCCGTAGGATGTCGGGGCCGTGACAAAGAGACCAGCAGCATCCTCAAAAGTCCAACCGCTCGGGATAGGTAGCAAGGATGGTTCGGGAGCGAGAACGTGAGTGGCGTAGGCACCCTGCGTTGCGCCGAAGACTCGATCGCCAACAGCGAACCGTGGCGGCGTTGTTGGAGAGGTGGGCACGGCCAGCACTGTACCCGCAAATTCCGAACCTCCGACCCAGGGTAGGGGAGGTTGATGTTGGTATTTGCCTTGAATTTGTAGGATGTCGAAGAAGTTGGTACCCGCCGAGTGTATCTCAATCAGGTAATCCGTCGGAGACGGGGAAGGGGTAGGAAGTGTAACAACTCCGAGTTCCAGAGGTCCCTTGGTTGTTGGCAGTCAGTAAGTTGTACGAGCGCTTGACGAGAGACTGGGCTCGTATACCTTCACATATTCGGTGACCTGAATGGCCCTCATGATGGTAGTCGAATGGCTAAAAGCTTGATGCGTCACTAGTACTATTTGGGTGACGGAAGTGTGATCGGTAATAACCAGCAACCGGGAACTGGAAGCAATTTCAATCGACAAAAATATGCTATTTGTATGCTATACTCTTCTGTTGGCAAATGGAAACTTGAGTCTAGGCAAGGTGAGTTGCAGACTGGAGAAGGGCGCGGGAGGAGGCAGAGGAGGAGGAGGAGGAGGAGGAGGAAGGTGAGAGACAGCTCAGCTCGAGCTCTCCCCACTATCGCTGGGCTAGATGTGCCGAGGTCCGTCTTCGGATATTGTTCCAGCACAGGCCTGCTCGGCGGCATCTTGCACTATCCCCATACCGTACCAGCATCTTGGCGAGTATTTTCGAGGACAAATTGCCGATTGGTTTTACAGAGCAACATTTTAGGTGGAAGAAGATTGAATAGAGCTGAATTTCTCGGAATTTTGAGCTCGCTAAATTAAGAACTAAGTAGATAGCGTACAGTACATACATACATCCCGTAATGAAACATTCATAGTGGCGTTCGTCTGGCCGTCAAGGCTGCAGATCTCCTCCCTCCTCCCCCAGAAAAAACGAGGTACACCAGCAGGCCTAGTATATATGACCCATGTAATGCAAGATAAGAGACTTCCATCCCAGAGTCCCATTGTCGAGAAACCCCTCGATACGTGCGCCCCCGAACTCCTTCGACCCGTAGTGGATATCATTAGAACCAGTACACCTCACCCCATGCATCGGTACTACCAGCCGACACGCCAGGTATCGGATTCCCTTGTAGACGTGATACCGATCCAACTGCCCAATCCCTCATCTATACCACATAGATAAAGGAGAAAAAATGAAATGAATACAGAATAAGAATGCAAGGCAGAAAAATAGGGCAGCAGAACAGAAGAGAGTAACGTAACCATGAAGACACAACGTGCAACTCCAATGCGCGAGGCCACACAGAATAGAAAAAATCACCAAAAGTCATTCGGAACTCGAATGAGATGAGACCTTGACCACAGCCCGGATATCTTAGAAGTCAATACTGGGTGGTCGATGAACAAGAGTCTCAGTCCCCGGATAGGTATAGATAGGTGCACACATCGCGGAATGCTGCCCGTGAGGGAAGAACGAGGGCGGAGGGGTCATTAAGCCCATGTCATGCTGATTTGTGGCCTTGGAAGGGAGTGATGCCTTTCTGTCCAACGCTGTCGACTGCATGCCCTTCTGTTCCAGTCTCGGATGACCGCCAGCGGTATCATGGACATAAGGAGCAGACATGGTACGCTTCCATAATTGCGCGCTATCGTCGTGTAAGTCAGACAACTGCTGTCTTGAGATATTGGCTGTCGGTGGCGTTTGTGGCGTAAATACCCGCGGTGGCCCGGGAGGAGACATAAGATGCATAGCAGGATCGATCGGAGGACTCAACGGTGCTGAGCTATAGAAAGGCATCGGGAGGGATTGGGCGCCAGGCGCCATAGGCATCGAATACCATTGAGGGATTGACCATTGAATTGGAGCAGTTGGGGCTGACGATGACACGGGTGTTTGCATGCAAGACTCGGTGGTGAAACCATAAGCATGTTCCTGGAAGGTGGGTGCCAAACTCGCAGCCGGATTGACCATCACATCTTCGAGCAAGGGCGATGTCATCGAAGCACGGGATGGATCCCTCTGCTTGTTAGGCTGGTTCAATGGTGATTGTTGCGCCAGTACAGGGGCCCAAGCGTGATCAAGGGGAACTGTGACCGGCAGCTCTTCTGATGGTGCAAAAGACCCATTCATGAACCAATCTGATTCGGACACAGAGAGATCCGTTGCAGTCGCACGAGACTTGGGGGAGACAATGGCAGCTCGATGCTTGGGAGAGCCGCCCTCACGGCCACTGTCATCGCCGGACCCCTCCTGTTGACTATCGTTCGACTTCTTGCGGGTTTGGCGGGAAGGCTTGGTGACCCGCCATTTCTTCAATCTGCTCCGCAACTGGGTTTCACTGAAAATGAATGACGATATTAATGCATTGTTATTTCATGGGTAGTGTAAAGATAAAGCTCACCTTGGATTGAAGTCGTCGGAGCGGATCTTCTTAATCACCTGCTTTAATGGCCACTCCTCATCCTTGTACAGCTGAGCGATAAGGGCCTTCTTCCTCTCCCACACATCAGATGGAATCGAGTTCTTCATTTCTGCTCTCCTGGCGAGGCACTCTTCTGGAGGTTGATTGGGAAAACTGGGCCAAGTTCAAAAAAAGGCGAGGCTCCCCTCTTTGAAACGGCCTATGGGAACAGCCCAATAAGTGCAAGTTTGTGTGAAGCGGGATACACCTGAAGGAAGGTCGAGTAAGTCAAGGAACTTGAGCAGCAGTCAACGAGAGATCGATGAGATGGGATTAGTGAAAAGAAAGTGTCAGAACTCGTTATAGCGGAGAAGAACGAATGCCAGGAGCGGATGCAGGAACAGAGTGGATTTGGACAGGGCAGTGGTCTGATAGTTATAAGTACATGAATATAAGACTAACTACCTAGCATTCAGAGGGGGGAGGGGGCAAGTGGGGTGGGATGGTTAGGACGGAGGTAACTGATTTGCAAGATAGGCTTAGTGGTTGGAGACAGCCGTACCAGAGCATGGTTTAAGGTACGGAGCAAAGGTCCTAAGATGGAACATACCGTGAACCACAGGTGTATCAAAATTCTGAAGTCAGGAAAGGTACTAAAAGTCTAAAAGTAAACGGGGGAGGGGGACGAGGTGGAGTCTACGCTGGAGAAAAAGATGCATGGTGGAGTAGGGAAGGATTGACTGAAAGCCCACATGATGAAGAACAGAACAGAGCAATAAGAGCAAAGTGGAAGAAGGCCCTAGTATGGAGTCCAAGGCGATATTGGTGGCGGAAGGATGGCAAAGGGACCGGGGAGGAATGAAAGGAATTGGAGCAGGCGGAGGAAAGCTCGTGCCCATCTGGACAAACGAACGCATGGGAGATCGACGCTGCCCAAGGAACGGGCATCAAACCTCAGATGGTGATTGGGAGCCAAGGCGGGTGGAGATCTCCCTCTCGGCCGGACTTTTTTCTACTAAAAGGTTTTCTTTCCCCCTGTTTTTTTTACTTTTGCCTTTTTTTCTTTTTCTTTCATTTCCCTTTTTCTTTTTCTTTTTCTTTTTTTTTAAAAAAAAAAAAGAACAGAAAAAAAGAAGATTGTTCAAGGGATGGCGGTGATGGTCATGGAGATTCACGGATGGTACGTCCATTGTCTCGGGTCCTGTCACTCCCTCAATGCGCAGGAGGAGCATTGGGCCCTGCAAGTAAGCTTTCTGGGTCGATCCCCGGTTCTGACTGACCCCCGGTAACGGACAGTACGAGCAACAGCCGAAGCTGAGGACGAGGACGATGCTGAATTGAGGAAGATGTCGGGGCCGATTTAGGACGGAGGCGGACCAAGAGACATCCAGAAGACATGGAGCAACAATCACTGCCTGCTTATCGCAGTGGAGGACTTAATGCTACATGCCATTCGTTCTGTATACTGTACAATATAAGGATGAAAAAAAAGTACAGTACTTGCATTTCTTCCAGGTTGGCTGTCCTCTGATTATGCAGTAGTGAGATTGTTGAATCGACAAATCACCCGAAGCGCTTATCGCATCTCTCCCACACACCTGATCTCTATGCTTGCTGGTTTGCTTCATAGTTTGCTTGATAGTCCTTGGAATGTGTCACTTGAGTACCCGTTTCTTCCCCCTCTATAAACCAGTGCGACGGATGAATAAATCCAGCAGCCTTTGAGTTGTCAGTTCATTCGGCACTTAGTGGAATAGCACCACCATTGTTCCACGTCAAACTGGCGGATCTCTCTGTCACCTCTCCACAGCCATGCTCACCTTTTTTTCCCTGTTGGCTTGATTTATCTAGCGAATACAGAAAAAGTTTCCCCCTCCTGATAGTTTATTGGTTAAATTGGTTACAAAAGCCTAGATTGAGTGAGGGATTAATCCTCAACAAGCACTATGAGAGATTTAATCCCAGGCGAGAGATCGATGTCGATGAGATAAGAATAGAAAACAAAATTGAGGAAGTAGGGCAAGGGTAGCTGTCCAGTTAACAGGGATTGAGTAGGCCATGAAACAATCGCGTGTGCACATTCAATGTAAACCGGACCATGGCACTAGCAGGCACTTTATTCGCCATCAAGGGCGATCCCTCTAGGCTGATTAGCGGAGTCGGGGCCTTGGATCTTGTCCCTCTGACCCTGATAACTAGGGAAGGATCTATTCCTCCCCAAGCATTAGGAGAACTAAACCACTGAGAGACCTTAGCGCATCTGTCGAACTGCCCGATTGGGATAAGGCAGGTATATGAGAAATGCGAAGAGGCATTTCTGTCTCCGCGACCGCCTGTAGAGTGTAGACACTGCACCGAGGACCGATTGGAGATCTTCACTAGTCTGAGATGCGCCTTGGGGGTGCGTGGGTGGGGACGACAGATGGGAGGATACCATGAGCTTACTCTCAATGCCATGCACGGTTGACACGACAATGAGGATCTTGACTCTGGTGTAGCACGAGTTTGACCGTCTGATCTCCGATCCTCGAGTGAAGGGTGAAACTCGAGAATACGGAGATTGACACTGCAATCTGACCCATGTTATTTCATGACCTCTAATTGACTGGTTATGTGGTTAATTACCATGAATTCTGATAGGATATGTGTAGGTCCTGTACTATGCTACCTTATTCTGCACAGCACCATGTACAGTACAGTACAAAAGCACGCTGGCGATGGGATCCACGACAACCTACCCAGAGTTCCTGTGGAAGTCTAGAACTCTGGTTGCTTGACAAAAACAGCAACCCTGTTCTTTCCAATTCGGGGCAAGCTCGAGAAGGTCGGTCGAAACAAAAATCATGGAGGCTATAGGGCAGCTTCCCTTAGTGCAATGTAGGTAATAATTCATTGAAGCGAATGAAGTACGTTGACGGGGCTCTCCAGGCTTTCATTTGCCTATTGCCTGATGTGAGAGAATAAATCCTGCTATAGCTAAGTCTCAGCTCGGGTCAAATCACGCATGCATGTATGTCATGTCAATGGACTCGGCTAGCGTGCGTAGTCTTTCTATGTACATGCAGTGATTAAGCATCATCCTGTGACTATTTTTATCATCCATTATCATCTTCTTCATCATCCCCTCATCACTATTCTTGAGATTAATCAATTTAATCTATTTAGCACAGAGATGAGCAGAACCAAGGAATTGATGGCGCTCCTTGGGAACCACAATTCAAACAGACTCTGGCCGTTGAAACCCTGTTAGGGTTCGATCGGCTTCGAAAGAGACTCTATGCCGATTTGCGGCCCATTTGGAACTGACTCGGATGAAAGGACGATTGCAAGTGACTTTGGCTAACACCTGAAGGGCAAACGCCCCGGAGGAAAGCATCGACCAGGCCAACCTTCAAATCCACTCCGGGGGGGAGAAGGGGATAATTTGGGGGGGGGGGGGGTGGAGGGGCAAAGGAGAAGGTAGGTTATGTGGTTCACACTAGACTATCGATTCCGCTGACTGACCAGTATTCCGTACCTTACTGTCTGTGCCTGCCAGGCGACGAAAAGGTAATGGTGCGCCGGACTAGAGCCCTTCAGCCCCGAAGCCACAACTACGAACCAGACTACAGACTGGACTAATCTTCTCCACTTGCGCCTAACGGAATCAGCTCCGCTACATTATTCTTCTGGTGGAGATCTATCCAAATTACTCATACTCGGACCGCTACTGATCGATCTGGAGAGGCAGTGGGCAAGAGCAAATCAGTGTCGTGCTGGTGGATCTCCCGCTGATCTTCGCCGAGGAAACCTCGATAGTCTCGTCTTCCAGGATTCCCCCAGTCTAAGTCTAGTCAGTTCAAAGGAGACACCGTCGGTCTGTCAAGCGTGCCAATGCATAGCAATGGCGTTCAGTTTTCGGTCTTCGCTCTCTACCAACGCAATGCCTGAAAGGGGCAGTCCATCTCTTGGAAAGCTTTGTTGTGAGTAAATGGCTCGGAACTTGACTTTCCTTGACCCGGTCTAACGATATTAACTTACAGTGCGGCGGCGGTCTGCGGTCCGCGGTCTAGCATTCAGCCCTCTCTCTATATGATGTGAGTAAGTTGACGTCGATCAATTTTAGTCACTGCTTTCGGATACGTCATGCTAAAATCTGGCTGTTTGCTGCAAACCCCGGATGGCATGGTCGACCGAGGCGGTTTCAAGTGGAATTGGACGATACTTCCTGGCTTCAGCCTTTAATTTACCCCCGACAAACGACCGATCACATTCGTCCCCTCGTGCAGCCAACTCCACACGGGGATTCTGTTTTCTCTTTGGGTATTATTCACTCTGCTTTGCTGCAGGTCTTAATTTAGGAGCGCGTAAATAACTACAGCGTATGAAAGCGCTGATAACCGAAGAACCCACGCAGCGAAATACTCCTCTTGGTCGCAGATTGAGTGTTTCTAAATCAGATGCAACCACCTTTGTGCTTACTATTCCTTCCTTTTACATGAACAGGTCTAAACTACTCCATACGTAGTAGTGTCGTAAATACTAGGTAGCTCTTCAACGAAGTACAGTACAAAGATACCTGTGGGTGGGCAAGTATATTATGCTCGTCACGCCAATGATTTTCACCCGCCCATCACCATGGGTGGAGGCCGGGGATGTATACTAAAGTACGTACGGAGCAGTTAACGTGACAGCAGATTGTACTTAGAAACACTTCCCTGGCATAGGACGACTCTCCGGCTTGCAGCAGCTGATGGGACAGCCAGAATTGTAGGACTCCCTGTGCGTAAATTAATCACATCACATTACATTACAATAATTACGAGCACTGGTCCTGCATGTCAAATATGTTGGTTAATTAAGCAAAAGTTGACAGGTCGTTGTCATTGATGCTTCACAGCAGAAAAGCCGATGATGAGTACACCTTCCAATATACTATTAGTGTGGTCTGATGGTTACATATTATCGCAGATAAATGGTTTAAATAGGTGTGGTTAGTTAAGTCACTTGATGTTCAATACGATTAGTGTACATATGGATATGTAAGAAAATTGAGTAGGTCACTAATTATCTACTGTCCTTAAGCACCTTGATGCCCAGTTAGCGGGTAGACTTGATCTTGCTTACACTGCCTTTCAGAATATCCCCC